TTTGAAAAAATATTTTATTAATAGTTTGGCGGAAGAGCTATACTCGGCATTTCTGAAATGGGGACACCCCTGATGCCACAGCGATCGGCGGTTCGGTCGTCGAGTCTCGAGCGGTAGTGGGGAGACAATAGGCGTCACCTCGGAAATCGGCCCGAAATGTGTGTTGTTGCAAGCACTGGTCTAACACAATGACAAGTGTAGTAAACATTTCGAAACTTTATTTCAGAAGTGTAAATAATGAAATATGGAAATCGTAAAAGTGAAATTCGCACGTATACACTATGTCATAATTTTAACAAAATAAATCATCATTAAAATACCGGCATGATACCCCTCTATCTATCTCCCCTAATTCGACCCAGCTTGGGTGCGTTCAGAATAACATCCGAGTGCAGCCAGATATCGTTTTATCCTTGTTTAATATTCGACGAAAAATACGGATAAAATGATACATCTAGTGCTTCTGAATTCAGTCCTTTATCTGTATTCCCTCCCCCTCCCCTTCCCAATACACCCTCTCTAGAGTTATTCGTCTCATAGTGGAACGGTCTAACGGTAGCAAGCATCTCTGACGAAAGTGCGGAGACGCGTTAGTGTGCGTGTCGCGATAAAAATCCTCGACAGTAACAAAGACAACAGTGACGAAAATTTTGAAATTCGCAAATCACTGGAATCATGGAAAAATCAAGGCGTTGCCGATGCTGGATGAAGAGTCGAAGAGAGGGCGGTGAGAGGAACGTCGGAACAACTTTGGAAACATTTGTGGTAAGGTAGGCATATGTAAGACTACAGTTGTGTGCGTGTGTTCTATTGGCGGCACAAAGCTGGTTTTCGTCGCGGCAGGCATTCTGTCCAAGGATCGAGCGAGGGAAGTCGGGGAAGTGGATCCGGCCATCTTGACTGTTCATACCATCCTATCTCTCCCTCACATATGCGTTTCTCGTTCCTCCTCCGTCGCTTGTCGCGCCTGCGTATCTCGACACACCGCCACTGGATTTCTTCTCCTTCCTCTTCAGCGGCTCTATTTTCTTCTTTTTCACCTTCATCTTCTTTTTCTTCTTTTACCTCACCCATCCTTTGACACGTGCCGCCGGCCGATTCCAGTAGAAGTGCGATACTAATGGCGATCGAAATCTAAAGCACGTTCTGACTTCTTAACAGTCAATCTACTTTAAACAATTTCGGATAAAAAATATTTTCAGATTGCAATCTCAAATTTGCATTACCACGCACGCGATTTTTTTGTAATTGTTAACTTTAATGCGATTAGACTTTAACACGTTTCATAACTCAATTCAATGTTTTCTACATCTAAGATTTTCCATTATTAAACTTTAACTATATAAATTTATGCCATACAAGTTATGGAACAATAATTTAAGATTTTCCATTCACGTTTATGTAAAAATATCCTGTAACAATACGCTATAAATTTCAATATCAACCAAGCAATCACATCGTAATACGAATAAGATCTGCTATAAACTTGTCATATTCAATTCGTTGTAAATACTTCATAAATTTATTAATTGCTTCCAACGATGTTCAGGGAGTTGAAAAGTTCACTGGTTAATTACTTTGCTTTCACCTACAGCAGCCAATAACGCTGTGAATATATATCCTCGATAACACGAGCATTTATTATATTGCTGATAGTATTCCAATGCCGTTAATTTATTCCATCGCGGCTAGCGTGATTGCAAATTAAATATATGATGTTTCATTATAAACCAAACTGACTCGATGTACTACATTTCAAATAATTAATAAATGATAAAGTCAAAGAAACATTAAAACTATCATATTCATGACTGAATTCTCGCTTTACTAGTTTCAGTATTATTTATGATATTCATAGCCTTTTTATTTTTGTATTATAAAGCCATTTCAATATGCTAAAGTCAGAATTTAAAATCGATAAAAAATACATATAATAATTTAAAAATTAAGAAAAAATTCTAATCACATTTATTTTCAATTTTTGTAATTCATTTAATGTATATTTATCACTTGTGTAATAAGATAATTATATGATATTTATATGATATTTATTTAATTATTATCTTTAATATACTTAAATGAATGAAATTAATAAAATTATAAGAGTTAAATTTAAAGTTTATTCTTTCCTTACGTAGAAAATATTTATTTTTATAACTTCAAATATATAGTTAATATATATCTGTTGGAGATATAATTAAAGATATTCATACATATAATGCTTGCAATATATAACGTTTCAATTTAATATACTGATGAAAATTTGTTACTTCTGCTCTACATATATTCATGTTGCAAAAAATCGAATATTATCAGGGCGTGTATCGTAAAACCGGTCCTGTCATATTCTGGTATCAGCGATAAAAATCGAAATTTCATCTTTTTTTTATTTACGTCATAAGAGATTGGATTAAATTTGATACGATTCAAAGTTCCATTGTTTGCTGCTTCTACCTTATATGAAGAAAACAAAATGTTACTTCATACGTTATTAATTACGAAAAACAAACTACAATATAAAATATAGATTCAATGCAAATACATAATAATAATAATAATAAAAAATCTATGTAATATATTATTATATCTATAGTTGCACAGATCATGTGATTTTACGTATTTGTGCAACAATTCTTATTAAGATATAGAATATGTTTTGCGAGTATTGTTTATTGTTGCAAAATTTTCAATTTGAACGTAACGCAAAGATATAACTAATAAAATATTTCACACCTAGTAGGACGCGTTAAAGCTTCTCCGCAACGCGTCTCCGCCATTAACTCCGGACGCCGTGCTCAGACTTACTGCATATTGATCTCATCAATCCTATCTTCTACCTTCCCTTCCCCAGGCTTCCCTTTTATCTGTTCTTCCCTTCTCTTTCCTTCCCTTTTCTCGTATCACAACTGACGCGAGGCTGTAAATTATGTTTGATCGATATTCCAGGAATAAATGTAACTACACGAAATTTGACCATATTACACGAAATAATAATAAAATCAATTTTTATCATATTGTAAATAAAACGGTTATTAAGAAAGAAAACAATTTATAATAAAATTACCTCGCATATAGTAATAATGTGTATTTAATATCAAAACGAATTTTTGAGATTGAAGGATGTATAACTCTGACATTTTCTCTTTCGTTTTCTATATAAGACACCGTTATAATACTACACATTAAATAATACTACACAATAAATTCTGAAGTTATATCTAAAAATACTTCTTCACATATCAGTTAGATTGAAAAAATTAGAAGTCATTAGCTCTTTAAGATCTCATTCATAACTGTCATTTACAATTAGCTTAATCTTACTTTTGCCATGATTTATTGATACGCTTTAAATCGCAATCGCATGTTAAACATCAACAATATATTACAATTAGTGAAATATATACATATGCATATATTTGTTGTTTACGTGATTTGTATTGTTGAAATATTATTGCTTTACAATATAATATTACAATATAGGTAAATATTCACTATTTTTATTTCATTTTTTTTATATATAAAATTATTCTATTTAAAACAAAGCTTTTTTAAAAAAATATCATCCAAAAACAGGGATTTTAATGTGCGTAATTTTTAATTTTGTCCTTAATTTTCATCCTTTAGTATTATATAATAAAAAATCGTAAGTAAAAATAAATAGAATTTCAAATAAAATATGAGACATAAATTACATATCAAATTATTAATTTTTAAAAACAATTATTAAAATTCATAGAGATTTATAGAGATTTATTAATAAATTGTAGTTTGCACATGACTTCATCAAATACACAGAGATAACACACACACACACACACACACACACACACACACACATACACATACGCATATGTGACGTCTTTTTTTTTTTTTTCGGATTCTGTTGGCAGATAATTCCAAGTCAACAGACGGACTTGATTTTGTAGTAGTGTGAAACATCGCGAATAATCCGTGACGTGGTAACGACGAGAACGGCCAATCTGGTTGCACTTTTATGCGCTGTTTGGCACACGAAACGCACGTCGCGCCTATAAAACGCATAAAGCGTCAGGTATAAGTGGCCGGCGCGCTCTCTCTCCCGACCGAACCTCTTAAAACGAGCGCGCGCGTACGCCGCTGCCTTGGCCGGATCCAGTAAAAGTTGCCTTTTGTTTGATAGCCGACTAAATCGGCCCGGCAACCCCCTAATGCGTCATTACTGTCGGACTTTACGGCTGCCTCGTATCATTTCACTTAGGTATATTGATATGGCAACGAGTTCTCGACCTATCCTAACACCGACGATCTTACCACACTATTCACGAAGATGTTAGTCACATACTGAGCTCTGCATCAATTTTCTGTTATATACGCCCCCGTAAATGATAATTATTTATTTTCGATTATTATTATATCCATATTAAGATTAATTTTTAATTATCACCTTTAATTATGTGCATACAATGATATGCACAAAATAAATTCTATAGAAATATAAAATAATATAAATAAAATTTAAATATATTTTATTTTGATATCTTAATGTACGATATCTTAATGTATGTATTTTGTAAAAGAAAGTTTAATGATGATATGTAAAGTACGAGACATCGCCGGTGATTACAGTTTATCTCTGTTCTGGTATCAAGAATACAAAGTTCATATCTATTTTTGTTTTCAAAATCTATGTTGTTTATTAAATATTACTTAATCTAAGCATAGTTCATTAACTTCTAAATACATTTTTTTATCAATATTGCATATTCTTTTAGTAATGTAGTGCTTTTTACTTCCTGTTAAAATTTGATAATATAAAAATTTAAATTCTTAATAATTTTAAATATTTATTATATAATAAAATATTAATTTTTTTATTTCACATATTACGCAAAACTAGTAAACTTAATTATGAAAATAAACATGTAATAAAAATAAATCTTTAAAAAATATAAATACGCTTTTGTATCGCATCTATTTCATATAAATTTTTGGCTAAAATAATATTCACAACTTGGCAAATATTTGTACATTAGCGCAAAAACGCCGAATATGTTTTTCCTGTCTGACATTTTTACCGAAATGTTATTGCGAACGTACCAGAGGCTGTTGTCACTGATGCACGAGAAATAAATTAATGGTTCGTTTTGCGTTCCCAATAATTCAACGGTCTTATACGTTTTAACAACTGTTTATTTGTCCTGAACCAGACGTGACAAATCTATAAATACCTTCAGAATATAAGATGTTTTGCATTTATCTCGCGACAACTTTTGTTATAAGTTAACTAAGAATTATTTTTTATTTTGTAATAAAGTCACAACGTCGATTATGTGGTTTTAAGTTACACTATCGGACATATGAAGTTTACAGTTTTAATTCCAGTAAACTACAGTAATGAACACATTTTTATCATATGTATTTCAATCTTTGACTTCGGACTTATAATTTATCATTGTATTATTATTTTTATTATTATTTATTTTTATTATTATTTTATTATTATATATTTTATTATTATTATTTTTATCATTGTATTTATAGAAAGATACGTCTAACATGTAAATTTTAGATTTTTCTTTATGAAAAATATCATAAAATATTAGTATTTATCATAATTTTATCATAATTCTGTGCATTAAACCTCTTTATAACTTAAAAATCTTTAATTAAAATGTAATTGTATTAAAATAAATTTTATTTATTATTATATAAATAAAATATAAAGTTATATTTAATTCCTTAAAAATTAAATAAGAAATCTTCTTCGATTTTAATTCTTTTTCTCT